AAATAGCCCATCTTGATGTCATTTGCTTAAGGCCGAAGAGCAGAATCATAGGTTATATAATTTGTCCAAAGTAAAAACCTAAAAATTGACATAAAAATAGGAAGTCAAAAATGTGTCACATTAACATAAGTATTTTTTAATTAAATCAAGAAACTCCTAATTATTAACTGGCATTGCCAGCTTCCAAAAAATTACACAAAACTTCCAGTCATCAAATTCAAATATTATAGACACCATTCCACTTAAATTAAACATAAATAATGAGGTTGTCAAGAGCTACGGATAGAATACAAAAATTTGTATTTTAAAACTAGGCAACTTATAGGTCGTTTTTTCTATTTAATTATTTAATGTGTAATGTTTAATTAATGAACTAGACATTAACTTATTAAACTAAAAACATTCTATCAAGTCTACTATATTATGTATCATTTGTTTTTAGTTTAAATAATAGAGAGAGCTCGGATATGTCTAAGATGTTTAAAATCTAGATTTTCAAATATGTTATTCAATTTTAAGATTATGTTAACTATTATGTTAACTCCGTGTTTACCCAATTCCCGGAGGGAACAATCACATATCGGGGGTACCAAAATTTTGGTCACAGACTATGTATTTTTCTAATTTTTTGTCCTTACAATTAGCATAATTAAATTGACACTATAATGGATGAAAATTATTCTCACGACCTTTTAATAGTAATTATCCAACAGTCGATTGCAATTGTTGGTCTTATTCTTAATTTGACAGTTGTATGGGTGACTTACAAACACAAGTAATTTTTTAAAAGGGGTAAATAAGATAAATTAAAATTATAAAAATTCCAGAAATCTCCAATCAAGCTATGGATTACTTCTTTCTATTAATTGTCTTTGTGATGCAATTCTCGAGTCTGGAAAATTTTTGCCAACATTTCTAGTGTTAATTCACACAAAGATTCCTATTACATATTGTTCTTTTGCTACAAGCTGGCAAAGTATAGTTGTTGCGGCAAATTCCAACTTTAATATGTTGTTCATTAGCGTAGATCGTATTATTTCTTTACTTTTTCCAATTTTGTAAGTCTCAATTGATAACTCGAGAAATTATATGGGATAGGAGATAAACATGATAATATTATAATTTCTAGTTACCGCTTTGTTCTAAAGAAAGGAGCTTTTAAATACGTAATTGTTCTTAATACCATATCTTTGAGTTACTGTTTTATTTTAATGATTTTTGGCTTTGATTATGCTCTTGAACACTCAGATATGTACGTTATTATAAAAAATCTTCAACCTCTTGTGTAATATAGAAAAGTTTATTGCGCTGCTCCAGAACAAATTGGAGGCGATGTACTTAGTTTTGCTTATTACTTCTCGATTGTGATTACTATGGTTACTGTATTTAATTATATTGTTATTGGGATTATTATCAAATGTATGTATGTTTAATTAAAATTAGATCATTGTAGGTTGCTAAAATCTAATGTACCAGTCTTGGTCTATGTTATGTCCATTGTTTGCCTAAAGTAGACGTCTACAATAATAACAGATTATCAAATGTAGAAATAAACAATGTGTAGGCGAAGGGATGGAAGAGCTGGAACAGACGAAGGAGATCAGTGAATATTCCCGCTAGTACATACATATGATTCAACTAAACTGACGCTTACACTGGCTTTTATACTATCCGTACACCAATACACAACAGTCTACATATTTTTGATAATTTATTCACATTTAATCAGTGCGAGATTAGCGTGTACAGTGAGAAACATTGACTGAAAAACTAGAAAAACCAAATAACTAAATTGATAATATATTTGTTATTTCAGTATGGCAAAGTGGAGATAATGACTTTCAACGTCTTCAAACACAACGGATATATAAATCACTTGTAGTTATATTATTCGTTATAGTTTTTTTTTTTTTCGCTGGAGTGTTTTGTAGTCAATTTATAATTCCCTTAATAACAAAAGATCCAGAGATGTCGTTTTTCTATGCTCGTCTTTTTACTCAACTTGTAACGATCTCGGGTGCAATTAACGCCCCAGTTTTGTATTTTTGCAGGTAAATAAAAATATTATTAAGTTTTAAAAATAATTAGCTAGTCAAATAAATAATTTTGTTAAAATTACAGCTCGGAATATCGAACTGCTCTGAACAAAGAATTTCCTTCGATAGCAAAGCTTTTACAGATGATGCCGTTAATATACCCTAGCTCAAGTGTTATTACAAATGTTCAAGTGGTAACAACTGTAAATCAACGTCAAAATCAATTACGGAACAAAAGGGTGACTGAATTTTGAAGATTTTGAAATTAAGACACTGAATTTTTCAAACAACCTCAATCTTTTTTTTAAATTTTGTATTAATAAATTGATAAATATTTTTACCACCATCTTCATTAATTAAATATTAATATTTCAAAATATAAACACTTCAAAAATTAAATTTTAAAGCCAAGTGTCAAAATTTAATGAGCTCTATGTCGACTAAGCACTTTAATCTTAAATTTATACGGCACATTTAGCCATTTGTGAATTAAGTTTAAACTGTATCTAGTTTTATACCACTTTATTTACTTTAATGATTCTAGTCCGCAAGAATTATCCGCAAATATTTAAATAAATTTATGTCTAGCAACATTATTTTATTAATTGATTTTAATTTTAATTGCCAGTCAAACACGCGAGAATCTTACATGATATCCAACACCTCTAAAATTAAAGACAGCGAGGATTTAAAATATAAAATGAGAAAGTTTGCACAGCTAATTTATAAAATTCTTTCAACTAAAAATTTTTTTATAATATTTTAATTTTTTGCGTTTCTTCAAGTATTGACTAATTTATAAAATCTTATGATTTATTCTATTAAATTGAATTTTTTTTATTTTAATTTTGAGTAAACCACAAAGTATAAAAATAAACAATTACTATGAGTATTGGATTAAGAAATTAAGTTATAATATACTCCAATCATCAGATCTCAAAACCCGAAAATATCGTTAAACCGGTGGAAATGACTTAAAAAATATTTTAGACATCCTAACCAAATCTTACTTTGATTTTAAGAACCCTCGAGATCTGCCAGAGCATTGCTTGGCATACAAAAATATAATCTAATGTTCATGAACTGAATAATATATTAATCGCATTTTCATCCATTAATTTAATAATAAATTAGATATATTTTATTAAGCAAAACTGATTAAAGATCAAATTAATTGGACTGCCATGTGTTGAAATTGCCTGAGCATATTTACGACCCCTCCTCGTTGATGGAAACTGCCGTTTAATTTTCCCTTTTCCGCTTTAGGGATATTAATAGATAAAGGTACGGTACTTATCCCTTATACCACACCCCCTCAAAGTAGTGTCCAAAATGTCATATATGGGGTAATAAAGGGTGCTGATCACGATTATGGTGTTTATTTCTCAATATAAGAACCCCCTCACCCATAAATTGTCATGGTTCATAATGGTCAAACTTCAAGTTTTTATTCAAGTTTTTTTTATCCCCCCATTAGTGTGTCGTAATTATAGGGCATTTTTTATTTATTTTTATTATTATGGGTTCAAATGAATGAAATCGTTTATATACTCATTAAACGACCAATAATCACACAGAAAATAAATATTAAATATTAGTGCATTAATAAATATAAGTGCAAAATAAATATTAGTGCATTAATATTGCTCATACCTATATATTTATTTAAATAAAAACTTGAAGTTTGACCATTATGAACCATGACAATTTATGGGTGAGGGTGTTCTTATATTGAGAAATAAACACCATAATCGTGATCAGCACCCTTTATTACCCCATATATGACATTTTGGACACTACTTTGAGGGGGTGTGGTATAAGGGATAAGTACCAAAGGTACTTTATTCATATACAATCCCAACTCTTATTAGAGTCTCAGATTGATTATCGATTATTCTCTTTTGTCTCGGTATAGTAAAATTTTCCTCTTTATAGATGCCGTTAGGTTGATTTATGAACTGCCGTTTAATTTTCCTTCATAACTTTTGCTTAAGTTAGGGAAATAAATGCTTGACAGAAAATAGAGGTCGGCAGGGCTGGCGTAATTGAAAATTTTACTTATAAAATTTTCAGCCGCTATCCTCAAGTCAAAATATACGCAATTTCACGCAATCCCCCAGCTTTGCTGTGGATGGTATATGAACAAAATAACACAATGAATTACAAATTACAATTTTAAAACAAGGTTTAGTTGTATTACTAATACATATTAATTTGTAAATTTTCCGTTTTTTAAAATCAAATTAGTTTGGTACTTGATTGAAGTCCCTTCCGATATTGGTACGATGTATTTTTGGATGCCAATCAAAGCAATTGGCAATAAAATCTAAGAATATAATGCCTACATGTTACGACCCGAGGTGTGTCCGAGATTAACTAATGTAGACGATCACAACAATAACAATTTATCACACGTAGAAATGAACAATGTGTAGGCGAAGGGAATGGGACAGACGAAGGAGATCAGTTACTAGCCCCGCTAGTATGATCCAACTAGACTGACGCTTTCACCGGCTTTTATAGTAAACACTTTAAGGGCTGACGCCCATACACAACAAGTAGGCTATTATTAATACATATTAATTTATAAATTTATCGTTTTTATAAATTTAAAGTGATTTTGTACATGATTGAACTTCCTGCTCACCACTGATCCATGTATTTTTGGATGCCAATAAGAAATTGGCAATAAAATTTAAAAATATAGTGGCTAAATTAATTTTGAAATTTATTTTGAAAAAAATTCTTTGAGAAGACACAATAATGTTTAAACTTTTCAAATCTTTAAACAAATCTTAAACAATAAATGATTTCCTTATTAAGACAGCCCTTTATTTATGCAACTTCAAATTATAGAGTAAAATTTAAATTTTTCACCAAAGAAATTAAAGAAAATTTAATAAAATATTTATATTTTTTTGTTAAAATCACAGGTTCATATCATTTATATTCTTTCCAAAATTTTTAGTTATCACAGCTTTTCGAGCAAATAACGCCGTCAATGCGGTTGTAGCATGGATCCTCGAGCCAGAGGACGGCTGTGGGATCAAAGCCCTCAAAAGAAGTATCAATCAGTTTAACACATTCAATTGGTTCTAAAAGAGAGTAAATTTTATTTATGGGAGGAATGAAGTCTTATAGAGTCGGCCGACATAGCTTTGGATCAGATACTTTTTTATAGGAAAACTGTCTCGATGGAGTTGAATGAGATTATCTTGAGTTGTGTTTTATTATAAACCTTCCCGTGGGTTGTATTATTAGAAATCTTTTCTCTTTATAGAGAGAGCTTCGTAAGTGTTGTAAATAGAGAGAATTTTGAGATGGTTGCATTAAAAAGTTGCATTAAAAAAGTTATATTAAGTGATAACATAGTACTACAGACGTTATCGCCAGTACTGATTAGCTATCGTTATCTCGTATCGCTAGTATTATTGAGTTTAGTTTGAATATAGAGAATTATAGAGCCTTCTAAAGGGATGCAGACTAAAAAAATTTAAAATTATCGGTCTGTTATCGGTAGTTTATGTAATACTGTACTGAATATGGTACATTACATAATTCCAGCTAGTTGTTACATAAGACAGCTTCTGAAATTTTTGTTAGAAAGCTTAAATCGTGTTGTAATTTCCAACTAGTCCACTCTTAATATCAAACAGATTACCTCCAAATTCATCAGTCGTTGGAATCTGGTCTATTGGCAACCAAGGCACGTCTTGTCTAGCCAGGTCGCTTGTAGAGTTGTAAGATCCATATACACATCGAGACTTATCCGACTCAAAACAATTGACCGTTTTATTGTCACTATTCGGTATAATATGGCTTCCAATCCAATTCGTTGTTGACGGTCCGGATATTTGTTGAACAAGTCCGTTTTCTATGTCATTGTGAATTATGGCAACATTACCGCCGTTTTCTTTGCATATAACTTGTGCCTAAAATTATTTTTAAAATTTTTTGGTCTAGTATTACAGTAGAAACTAGTATTACAGTAAAAAATATGTAGAGAACCCTTATTTGTGTATAGATTCGCTTAGGCACAGTCAGGTATCTTGATTGGGTTAATACACACTTTTATCTTTTGGCCAACAAGTGGGTGAGGGCCTCTAGGCGATACACCCAGTCTCTCACGTTATTGTAAGCTTTTTCAGCTTCAATTGTGTACGGATGGCGCCGTATTAACAGGATTAACTCTCATTTTATTTACGTTATTTTATCTGTTTGCCAATTGGTAGGGAGGACAGTTTGAGGTATATACCAGCTTTAAGTATCCGCCATTTTAGTGTACGATTTTACGGTTTAAGGCTTGCTTCTGTTCTGCTTTTGGATAATTATTAACGAGATTACACTTAATCAAACGAATTTTAAAAAATCAAAAAAACCCTACATGGTAGTAGTTTATCTTATAATCCCGCTTGAATAGTTTAAATCCAATAGAAACACCATTCTCATCAGCCATACTGGTCCAATCATCTTCACAATCACCACTTACAAAGGCAAAAAAAATAGTTTGAGTGAAAATAATTAAAGTCAATAAAAGCTTCATTTTAAAAAATTTTTTTGAATAATCCAAAGAGAGGTATGGGTGTTGGAAAAAATTTAAAATGATGAGCGTTGAGAGGGAATAAATTTATTTTATATGAGTTGGCTTTAAAGTTGGCTTTTTCCTTGGATTTTAATTTTTTCTTCAGACTAATTTTTTAGTTCCGAAAAAAGAGAAGACTTGGAAAATTTATTTTAAAGCTTCCAACTTAAATTTTGTCAAAAATTTATTTAGATGTATAAGATTTAACTTCCTGCTTCTAAAAAGTTTAAAATTTTAAAAATTTACAAAATTTGAAAAGAAACGGTTCTAATTAAGCTATGTTTTAAATTTATTATGAATGAGGCTCCTTCATTTACTATGAAGGAGGCCACAGTCGGGTACACTCCAACTTACCGCGAGCCCAACTTACCACATAGCTATAACTTAGTTCGGTATGGTCAAATTGTGGGGTCCCGGTATTGTTCAATTCAGCTCATCGAGGCGTACGAACCATGTCACGGCGGCACGAAACTGGGCTCGCGTTAAGTTGGCCTGCTCACCCACAACCTGTTAATTTAAAATACGAATTATAACATTATATTTTATTATATTTATTTTGTTTTAAATGTAGAAGCTTATGGGTTCTGTTAAATCTTCCTTCTCGGGTAGGATCTTTTATTTTTTGGATGTCGCATTGAAAGCCGATAAAAACTTTAATAAATACTGATTTTTACTGCTATATTTCTTTATAATAAATCCAGGATCTATTAAACACGTGTCTATAATTCGGCAGATTAACCTCACTTGTATCCTCTTTTAGCTAAGAAATGAATTGTGAGTATTGTAGTGTATTGGGTTTACTAAATTATTGAAATTTAACTATTATTCTCAGCATCAGACTAATTGGATCATACAGCCCGGCTGATCATTTATCTCCTTTGTCTGTCCCAACCACCTCCAGCTTACATAAATGGTAGATTTCCACTTCGGATAAACTGTATATACCAAGATCGACGAAAATTTGTTATCAATCCTCTATGTTATTGAGATGTCAATCAATGTAAAATTTGTCAGCATATGGCTAACATCCAAAAATAATAAATGCCAGTTAACTAAATATGGTTATCTAACAATCGGCATAAATTGCATAAATTATTTTATATAAACAAAACGGAATACTGAGCAATGTTATTCGGTAATCAACGGATTATGCTCTAGTATGCGGCGGCTGTTCCCATACCAAAGTCTGTTAATCTGTTACCAAAGTCCAAAGTCAGTTACGGTTTACTACCTTATATTTTATTAAATTTAAGTTGGTTTAAATGTAGATAATTAAATGAAATATTTATTACGGCTTTCCTTTCGTTTCACGCGTTATTTTTTGAATGTCGCATTAGAAGTCGACAAAAACATAATTTAATTCTAAGTTTGATTCACCTTTTTGTCAATAATAGACCTTGTCTATTATAGATTTGCATTTGTGTCACGCAGAATTTCATTTCCTCGGGCATCACAGCTGAATTATTTTCCTAATCAAACTGTGTTGACTATGGGTTTGTCTGATAGATTTATGTCGACTATTTGATTTTATTTCGAGTTTAACTGTTCGACCGCGCCCATGTTAGTATCGACTTGCAGTTGTCCATTACTTTCATTTACAAAATTGAAAAAATTTAAATTCACAAACTTACATAGGACTACTTTGTTAGTTTGAGTGGAAGAATAGTTGTAGGAACATGGTACCTTGCCAAATAAGTTTTTTGAGCTTTATTCAACATTAAGTACCTATAAGGCTACAAAAATAGTTCGGAACCTAAAATCTCTGACTCTACATATCAGATAACTTTTTTAGAAATAGTCTTTTTTCAATATTAACAAAAATCGATCTAACTTAATTTTAAAAAATTTTATTTAAGATTTTCTACCAGCTCACGTGAAAATTTAATAAAATAGAAGAGGGAATATCAAGCTAAACAAGCATATAATTGAATAAAAATTTATAAAATTAAACCCAACAGTGGTTAAAATTGCAAGTTGGATATTTTAAAAAAGTTTGGTGATGGTTGGGTATAGATTGAATTTAAAAAAATAGAGAAAAAATGAGAAGAATATATTAAAATTGATTAAATAATGCTTACACATGAAAGAATATTATGGATAAATTTTAGTGAAAATTTCTTAACTTTTCCGAAAATTTAAGAAAAAAAAATTTCTGAAAATGGTTAATACATATATTCCCGATTTTTTCTTAAATTGTATTATAACTAAGGCTGTGATTTATAGGCAAATGCCTATTTTTTCTGCAAGCTTGGGATGATGTAATACGTTCAAAAAACGTGTTTTTAGCTCGGTCTGATAAGTCTAGCATGACTTTTAATATGCCTATTTTTGCCTATTTTTGACTTTTTGTGCCTTTCTGCCTATTTTGAAATTTTTGGTACTATTTTTGCCTTTTTTAGCAATTTTTTCGAAATTTTGCCTAAAAATCAGTGCAAAACCTAAAAAAATCAGTCCCAAATTAGAAAAAATCAGTGCCAAGTCCCATTTTAATTTTTAGTTCGTTAAATTGTTTATTTTTACTCTGCTGGACATTTTGAACTGGGACGATCTGGTTTTGGGACGTTTTGGGGTGCGGCGTTTTGTGTGTTGGGCGAGATTTCCATTTTGTCAATTATCGGGATTTAAAAAAAAATTTACTCCATTTTTTTCAAAAAATGATTCAAAATGACGAATAAATGGTAAAATTATTTACAAAATAATTTATAATTTAAAAAATTATATTTTTTCTGTTTTTATTTGTTCTTCTGTTTTTATCTACATTTTATGGTCTAATATCCTTTTTTACATGCCTATTTTTGTGCCTTTTTCGGCTTTTTTGTGCCTATTTTAGGCGTCTATTTCACTGATTTTACTTGCCTAACTATCACAGCCTTAATTATAACATTCCCGCAGGGATGACTTATAAAAATTTCAATCCACTCGGAACTCAATAAATAAATAGAATTTCAAAATTTTGGCGATTCTATAATTTTTGAAGCTGAGCCCTTTTGCCTTTCATTTTTTTCACAATATTGTTATGTATGTTCCCTAGAATTTTTGTAAATTTTTTCTAATGTTGGAAATATTTTTTTGTAAAGTGCCTCTATATGTACTTTTGTGGAGGCCGATAATGTGAATTCTTGTCTAAAAATTTTTAAAATAAAAAATCAGCCAAAAATCCATGCACATCTTATTAGTTATTCACTAAAAGGTGTTTATCTAAATTTTCAAAAAATTTGGATCATCGGAAGTAAAAAAATCTCGAAAATACAATTGCCTTTACATATACTTTTGTGGAGCAGTTTATTTGCCGTGTGTTTCTGCTCAATTAAAGCAACCGCAAAGCATTTATGAAATTTTTATGTGGAAGCCTTCTAACCTATAGTTTGCTAGACAAACAATAGAAAACTTGTCAGTTTAAGACTGACATCCAAAAATAATACCGGCCATTCAAAAAATGAGCAATTGCTGTAGTATATAATAAAATTGATTTATAAAATTGCTTAAACAATAAAGACTATTGTGTAAATTTTTCATTTAATTTTGATAGTTTTAGGTTACCTAACTCATAACAAAATAGCCATCAAACTTTCAATCACCTCTCTGTTTATGGCTATTAAAAATTGGAAGATTTTGGGCATCTTCGGCTTTTCCCTCTATGTACTTTCAAATTGAACTTTTTGTACTTACACTTGACATTTTCTCGATCCGAACCCAAGTCTAAACTAAATATGAAATTTAAACACAATTTGATTTTGCTCAGATATTGCCCAGTATTGCCCAGTATTAGGATTATTTAATTAATATTTATTCTTGAATTTTTCCGACTATTAAAGACGTAAAATTAATATAATATTTAGAATTGAACATTTAACCAAATTTATTTTTGGATGCCATGCATAATCATAGGCAATAGTTGAATTGACATGTTTATTTAAAAAGGAAGGGGTAGCCGCGAGTATCACCTACAATAAGTTTACAGAGTATGTGTCTAACAATTAAAAAAAGTACTGTTATGTACGAGGCTTGTATGTCTTCGTACTAAATAGCAAGAATAACAACAAGATAAGACAATAACTAACAAACTGTGCTTTATCTACAATACTAACTACAATAGGTTGCGTACAATAGGAATATGGCTAAGCACCGAATATGTGGAGACAGAATAGAATAACAGAATAACACTGCGACAATAAGACTAAGACCGCGACTGAATAATAGAAAGGCTTTTATACTAAGCCAATACCCAACACTTACATATTCGATTTTGAGTAATCCTAATACAAAAACAACATTTATAGGGAACTTAAGTAGATACAAGTTCTTATGGAATCCTTGGAATTCTATCAATTGGTCTGATTGAGAGGGATTCTAATGGGGCATGGGCTTCTACTGCTGCCAGCTTCCTATTGAAAAGTTTACCGTTGGTTCATTACCTTATATTTTTTTACATTTATTTTGATTTAAATAGAGAACACTTCTAGCTTTAGTTTGTCTGGAAATTATACTGCTTGCTAATTTTTTGGATGTCGCATAGAAAGCTGACAAAAAATTATATTTATTAAAAGGTGTTTATCTAAATTTTCAAAAAATTTGGATCATCGGAAGTAAAAAAATTCTGAAAAACAAGTGCCTTTATACTTTTGTGGAGCAGTTTATTTGCCGTGTGTTTCTGCTCAATTAAAGCAACCGCAAAGCATTTATGAAATTTTTATGTGGAAGCCTTCTAACCTATAGTTTGCTAGACAAACAATAGAAAACTTGTCAGTTTAGGACTGACATCCAAAAATAATACCGGCCATTCAAAAAATGAGCAATTGCTGTAGTATATAATAAAATTGATTTATAAAATTGCTTAAACAATAAAGACTATTGTGTAAATTTTTCATTTAATTTTGATAGTTTTAGGTTACCTAACTCATAACAAAATAGCCATCAAACTTTCAATCACCTCTCTGTTTATGGCTATTAAAAATTGGAAGATTTTGGGCATCTTCGGCTTTTCCCTCTATGTACTTTCAAATTGAACTTTTTGTACTTACACTTGACATTTTCTCGATC